GATGCCAGTCTATATGTTTAAATTAGATGCTGTATTATTGAAGGTGATGAGTAGTTTGAGATTGGGGGGCTGTCTTTGCACTGGAAAAGGTCATGGCGCTGGAACCAGTGTTTGGACCGGGCATCACTGTATGTCATCTTGCAGGGGACAGTCTCCAGCGCATGGGGATGTGTCAGTTGGGGTGGTCCAAAGATTGTTTTGGAGTGCAGCTTGGCCCCACTCTCTGCCTGTGGTGATTTTCCAGGGGGACCACATCTTTGGAGCAGCTGGCACAAGAGCCGCGCTTTGGACCAGCACACGGCATATGTTCCCTCGAAGGGGAGAGTCTGCTGAACATGGGAGTGTATGACATGTGGTGGTCCAATCTTTATTTTGGGTACAAGGGTCACTTACTTATTCAAATCTTCATTGGAATACAGGCCTTTGGGAGGTACTCCAAACAGAAGCTCGTGGTGCCAGAACCAGTGTTTGGACAGGGCATCACTGTATGTCATCTTGCAGGGGACAGTCTCCAGCGCATGGGGATGTGTCAGTTGGGGTGGTCCAAAGATTGTTTTGGAGTGCAGCTTGGCCCCACTCTCTGCCTGTGGTGATTTTCCAGGGGGACCACATCTTTGGAGCAGCTGGCACAAGAGCCGCGCTTTGGACCAGCACACGGCATATGTTCCCTTGTGATTGTCCTAGGGGCACCACACTTTGGAGTAGCTCACACAAGAACCGTGTTTTGGACCAGTACACGGCATATGTTCCCTCAAAGGGGAAAGTCCGCTGAACATACGGGTATATGAAGTGTGTAGGTCTAAATGTCATTTTGGGTACAGAGGGCACTTCCTTATTCAAATCTTCTTTGAGATACAGGCCTTTGGAGGCACTCTGAATAGAAGCTCATAGCACCAGAACCAGTGTATGGACCAGGCTTCACTGTATATCACTGTATAGCAGGTGACAGTCTTCAGAGTGTGGGGATGTTTCAATTGGGGTGGTCCAAAGATTGTTTTGGGGTGCAGCCAGGCCCCACTGTCTGCCTGTGTGACGTCCCTGGGGGCACCTCACTTTGGAGCAGCTAGCACAAGAACCACGCTTTGGACCAGGACACAGCATATGTCTCCTCGAAGAGGAGAGTTCACTGAACATGAAGATGTATGAGATGTGGCAGTCCAATCCTTATTCCAGGATGTAGTGGGCAAACAGTCAAACCAGTTCTTATTCAAATCTTTTTTTGAAATACGGGGTTCTTGCGTGCACCTGAAATGGAAGCCTGTGGTTCCAGAACCACTGTTTGGACCGGGCATCACTGTATGTCATCTTGCAGAGCACAGTCTCCAGAGCATGGGGATGAGTCCTTTGGGGTGGTCCAAATATTGTTTTGGGGTACAGCTTGGCCCCAGTATCTGCCTGTGTGATTGTCCTGGGGGCGCCTCACTTTGGAGTAGGTGGCGCAAGAACCACGCTTTGGACCAGAACTAGAGATGTGAAGGCTCGGAAAAAAACTGGAAAAATTAGGAAAAAAACATTTTTTCCCATTTTTTTCCTGAAACTTTGTTTTTTTCAGAAAAATTGGAAAAATTGAAAAAAGAAAAAGGAAAAAATTGATTATGGAATGTTTTATTTTAACATGATGAATAAAATATTTTAAGACTGGTGTTCAAATATTTTCCAAATAATTTCTAAATATATATATATATGGTATCAGATTGATCTAATTTCTGTGCACTGAGGACAAGCAAGTCCTAGGTTACAAACTGAACTCTCCAATGCAAGAACAAGATGCATTTCTTCCTTTAGGAGGTGCTATTGTCAGAAGAAAATAAAAAGGTTTCAGTTTTGTTTTTGCATGTGGGTGGGAATTCTGTTTGTAATAATTGTTTGGATACACTATTTTTTTAATATGCTAGTTGTGATAATTTCATGCCAAGTAAAAATGTCCATAGTCATATTTTATGTTCCTAAAGTAACAGAATGACTTTCAATCTAGAAAAGACAAAAGAAATGCTAATGTAGCATTTTTTTCAATTTTTCCGAAAATTTCCGTTAAAAAAAACAACAACCTGGAAAAAGCCTGGGTTTTTTTCCGAGATTCAAAATTTCCGGAAATTTTACATCTCTAACCAGGACACAGCATATGTCCCCTCGGAAGGGGGAGTTCGCTAAACATGGGGGTGTATGAAGTTTGGGGATCCAAATCTTATTTTGGGGTTCAGAGCTTTCAAACTCTCCTCACTGTTTATGGATGAATTAATGAATAAGAGCCGAATAAGGAATGAATAAGGAACTGAGAATAAGGAACCAACTTCAGCCTCGTAGGAAAACGCCAGGCCCCACCTGGAGGTTTGCAACTGTACCGCTGCCTTTGGAATTTACCTCACTCAGAGAAGTGAGGTGTGTATAACAATACTATACAAGGAAATATTATATTAGTAGCAAATGTGCATGCTTAATGATAGCAGTTACCATACCATACCATAATGTGAATACTGACATTTGCACCTATGTTACAGTCACAGAAAGTTCAATGATTCGATATGAATGTACAACTTCTCTGCATGTAGAGCCATTTTGATGTAGTGGCTAGGAGCGTGGACTCTAATCTGGGAGAACCAGGTTTGATTCCCCAATCTTCCACATGTATTTATTTATTTATTTATTTATTTACTTATTTTTTGCATTTCTATCCCGCCCTCCCCGGAGGCTCAGGGCGGCTTACAGGGCATAATGCCAGATAAAACAGTAAAACAATACAAAATATTAAGTAGCTGCCCCACCTACCTCACAGGGTGTCTGTTGTGGGGAGGGGAAGGGAAAGGGATTGTAAGCCACTCTGAGACTCCTTCAGGTACTGAAGGGTGGGATAGAAATCCAGTCTCTTCTTATATACAGCTAAAGAAGCTGATGAACCATTAAGGAATTTTCTTTTCTTACACATAGGAAAAGGCTGACCTTTCAAACTGCATTAACATCTAGCTTGGTTTGGGTCTACCTTAAGCAACAGTGGCACAGGACAGTGACCAGACTGCTGAATTTCTGCACTGGATCCATCATATGTTACATGCTTTGACCTGGGTGGCGCAGGCTAGTTTGATCTTGTCAGATCTTGAAAGCTCAGCGGCGTCAGCCCTAGTTAGCACTTAGATGGGAGACCACCAAGGAAGTCCAGGATCACTACACATAGGCAGGCCATGGGAAACCACCTCTTTTTGGTTCTTGCATTGAAAACCTTACAGGGTGTCTCCGTAAGTCAGCTGCACTTTCCACCATATGTGACATGCGCCCCACTTCTGAACAGTGAGAAGTTCAACGAGTAAGCACACACCTGGGTTGGCTCACATTACATACTTAAAAGCAACTCGTGATGTTTTTAAATACATAGGGAGAGAACAGGTGTGAACTCCGATCCAATACGACCTAATGAGGGGGCACCGCTGAATGTGTCCTTAAACTGCACTTTAGTTTTATCGCCATCTAATGAATGTTTTATACTGATTGGTTGTGTTTTAACTGATGCCTTGTATTTATATTTTATTGTGTATGTATACTGCTTGTCAGTTTTTGGAAGCCAACCTGAGCCTGCCTGGCGGGGAGGGCGGGGTAAAAGTGAAATAAATAAATAAATAAATTACAGAGGTTCTCCTACAGCCTGGGCAACAGACCCCTTACCCCACATCAGATCTAATCCATAAGAAACTTCAGCCAACTTACAGCAGTGTCTGCTTCTCTGTATCTTGCAGAAGCGAAACTGCATTTTTTCCTTCGCAGACACACAAAGGCGCACTCCTGACTGTTCCCTTCAGATTGGGGGGGGGGGGTGTCATCTCTCCAAATCCTGATAGTTCCTTGCCTAGAGCCATTTCCCAGCACTTAGGGCCCATCAAGGCAACATCTACAATCATTGAGATGCATGACTGTTCCTTTTGTCAATGGCTCTAGTTGCCCATAGGAATGCCACTGTGCCCCCTGACTTGGATAGCCCAGGCTAGCCTGATCTTGTCAGAACTCAGAAGCTAAACAGGATCGGCCCTGGTCAGTATTTGGATGGGAGGTCACCAAGGAATACCAGGGTTGCGACGTGGAGGCAGCTGATGGCACCCCTGAATGTCTCTTGCCTTGGAAAAACCTACAGGGTCGCAATAAGCTGTGACTTGATGATGGGGGGAAATGCCACTATAGGCAAGGCTGTAAGATGAACTTAGTCACAACCAAGCTCACAACAGCCTCCTTTGTGTTCAGACATCACTAGCTACAAGACTTGTTCCAACGGCTGCTTGGAAGCAGGATTAAAAAACAGAAGGTGCATGAACCTCCGGGTGCTTACAGAGTACTCCTTTATGCACAGCGACCCACTGTGCATGTGTCTGTCAGTGCATTGCTTTTCTCTGTAGTGGAGGAGCTTTTCCTAGAAACCAGTTGTTCAGGTAACTGCAGCGAAAAGCACATTGCTCCAGTTTTTACTCCATTGATATAAAAGAAGCAGCTGGAATCCAGTTTCACAATAAGGAGCAAGGAAGCATATTATGCCATTTGCAGATCTGGTGGAGCACCAGGCTGGGAAAAGTGCACAAACCTCTAAAAATGCACTTCTGTATACATCTTGTCAGAGTGCATCATTATGTTCAGACATACCCACACTACTTAAATACACTAACCAGCTTTATCCAGTTTTTCCAACTCCCCCCTCCCGATTTTGCCAATAAAGGAAGAAGTTAGGCCTCTTGCTCCACTGAATGGAGTAGACCATACTCCATAGAAACTAAGCCATAAGGACATTTAGTGTTGAGCTCAGGCACACACACACACATACACAAACCAACCAGTTCTCCGAAGCTCCGGCCTGAGTCAGAAGAAGTAATCATGCACAGCAGTAACCATAAACAGCCCTCCCAGATTAGAGGAGCATGACTTTCAGGAATCTTGAAAATACCCCACAAAAGATTCCTACACAGAAACACACAGACACAGAACAAGGATTACCCAAAATTAACATGAGACCTGGATGTAGAGTGTAAGAATGCAAAATTTAATGGCTGATTTAAGATCACAAGGAACAGGTCTAGAGAATGTACACCCGAGAGTTCTCTCTAACATTCCCTCCATCCAACATACAAAGCAAGAGAGAGAATCCCTTCCTCAATAATCCCACCACAATTCCAAGACAATTACACCCTTGAATTTTGCATTAATCAATCCAGAATAAATGGCCAATTGCATTGCTGTCACTCACAACTTTGGTCTTGGATTATGATTCCCGTCTATCACTATGCTCTGACAGTGGCAGAAAGTTGATTGGTTTAGCTTTTCAGATTGCAAGTATGTGGCCAAGAGTCATCTATGTCTATAAAGGTAGCTTCACCGAGGGTGGTCCTCCTTCCCATCTTAAAGGACACCTGCCCCAACATCCTACCATCCTTCTACAACAGGGAAGACAGTGTTTCAAAAAGGGAATCTTACAAGCGTGTCTGATATTAAGGCACTTTTGTACAATACTTGGCAATTAACATTAAACACACCCATGACAGCACTAGTAAGCACTTAACTCAGGTATCGACCAGGAACACCAAAGGCTAAAAACAATTTTCCATAGAAATCAGCATAGCCACCATCCACACATTTTCCTAATTCAAAGGAAAGATTAAACTGATGGGACATTCCTTCACAAGGACCACTTGCACCCTTCCAAGATGCCACCTCCTCCCCCGCTAGGCTACGTAGCTTTTAAAGTTGCGTGACCAGCAGCTATCCAGCAGGCTAAGCTTCTGCCTTTCCAGCGCTTCCATGTAGCTGCACCTAATTTATTTCCGAGTGCTACAGTCGGTCAGGAAGAACAAGAACAACCCTGTTAATGGAGCGTAAGACTCCAGTAAAACGTGGGAGGATCAGGGAAAGATGGTTGTGGAACAGGAGTGGGGAAAGGGGAGTATTCTCAAACAGGACAAGACCAAACCAATATGAGCACAGAAGCCTCCATCCAGAGGGCAAATGCTTTTCTTGGAATGTTTCTAGACAGAGTGGAATTCACAGGGCCATACACCGAGATGCTGCCCCAGGCCACTGCCAGGAGAAGATTGCTGTCAAGGGGTCTAGGCCTGACTGGTATTGTGGCAGCCAGCCACAAGCCAACCCCTTCAATGCAAGAGCCCCAAAGACTCTTATGCCAAACAGACAGACAATCTGCAGCAGAGGTGGTGCAGGCTCAGCCAGATATCCTAAAGATGAGGGGTTGGCTGGCTGGCCGCCTTCCTGCCCGGCTGTTCCCGTTCTTCCCACAGCGTCACTCCGTTGCATGTACATACTTTCTTGGGGTTCTGGAAGAGGCCAGCAGAGCGCGCAATGATTCCACAGGCCACTCTGAAAGCAAAGAAACAGAGGGTTGGATAAGGTTGGAAAGGGCTGGGCCAGGGTGGTGCACATTCCACATTTCTCCAGTGCAGAAGATTTTTTTTAAGGCAACGTTTTAGTCCTGGTGGCTGCAGTGAGAAATAGCAATGCCAACCAAGGCCTCAAGAGGACAGGAGCTATGCCACATGGAGAGCTTTGCCCTTCTCCACAGCTAGCAGAAGAAAAAAGAAAAAAAAACCTAAGCAAAATAAGCAACAGGAATAATTGGGGGTCTTATTTAGTGCAGCCTTTGGATTTCAAGCACAAAGTAAAAATAAATGGGAGTACAGTGGCAACTTAAACACTAACAAGACTATGAGACTCCCATTTATTTTCACCATAACAAACTAAAACAGCTATATCTTCCTTTTAGGTATTCCATGCAGATTCATCAACAGAAGGAAGGGGTCACACCCAGCCTGGATTGTTCATTCTACCCTTTTCATTACTTTCGCAATTGCTTTGCATTTAAATGGCACTTCCTGCATCCTCTCCCCCCTCCCCTTACCAACTATATATCTCTGGCCAGTTTCTTCATACCCTCCATGCATCTGATGAAGTGAACTGTGTTTCTCAAAAGCTTATGCTACAATAAAATTTGTTAGTCTTAAATGTGCTACTGGGCTTTTTACTATTTTGCAGCAACAGACTAACACAGCTAACTCCTCTGGAGCTATACCTCTGAAACCATTACACGCAAAATTTGTATGCATGCAGATATTTATTTTATGTAGGGTTGCCAAATGGCACTCACCTCCTTGGCGGGGGACTCCTGGGCAGCTCCCGGTGCGCGCGTGCGCGAAGCGCGCACACGCGTGCCACATCTACGTCACCCGGACGTGACGTCATGACGCCGGGCACGCTGGGGGCAGGGCCACAGCCATTTGAGGGGAAAACATAGAGTTTCCCCCTCAAATGGCTGTGGCCCCGCCCCCAGCGTGCAACGTCACATCCGGGTGACGTGCACGCGGGGGTGGGGTTTCCCCCGGGGCCCGATTCTGCGGGGGCGGAAATCGGGCCTCCAAAGTGGGGGGGAATCCGCCCCCCGGGGGGATTTGGCAGCCCTAATGTTATGCTTGAGCTAGAGACAAAGCTATTCCTTGCTTTTTCCTCCTCCAAATGCACACAGTCTTAAGTTCTCAAAGGTTCCTCCAGTTGCAAGTGGGGACCAGCCGGTTCCTTTTTCTCACCTTCTTCCCCTCCCCAGTGGCTCCCAACCCTTCCAGCCCCATCAAACATCAGAGTTCAGCACTTTTAAGCTTGCAAGGCATAAGAACACCTGGCCCAAGTCTACACCTTCATTTCTTACCTCTCGCCTGAATTGCCCGTGACCTTTGAGAGTGGGTGGCTTCCACGGCCCAAGTCATCCTCTCCTGCGTCTATCACCAAGGAGCGCCCAATGATGTCATAGACCTAAGAGGGAAGAACAGCAATGACTGAGACTCACCTAGTGGCAACTGCTGCTCACCCCAGTTGAGCAGGTGATATGCAAATTACAAGCCCAATGGAGCTCAGAACAACTTGGCGGTGGAATTCTGGAGTTTGGAGTGGACCGGGCAAACTACTTACGATATTTGCAGACTAGATAGTGCAACAGTAAGTCAAGCTACACAGACACATCCTAAGCATATCATTGCCTTACAGGGCCTTTGCTAAAATCATTTTTCAGATGGCTCATTTGCGCCAGATGGCCTCACCTTCAGTTGGTTGTTTTCCGTCCGAAAGGAAGCCCTTCCATCACCAGCAGCTAGGATATTCCCAAGATCCCCGGCATGCTGGAATATAAGAACACAAGACTAACCATGGTGGATCAGACCAATGGTCCCATTTCCAGCAGTCTCCAATCAGTGAAACTCACAAGCAGGGGTCAGAGGCCACAGCCATCACCTGCTGACTGCTCCCCAGGGGCTGTCAATCAGGAGCATTGCAACTCTGAATCCAGAGGACCCATTTGGTTATACCAGCTAATAGCCAACAAGTAGACCGGTCTTCCACAAATCTGTCCAACCCCTTTTTAAATTCATTTAGGCGAGTGGCCCCCATTACATCTCCTGGCACTGAGGCCTGCAAGTCAGCCACCCATTGTAAGCAGTACTTCCTTTCATTCACCTTTCATCTACTGCCAAATTTGTATGGTGGCCCCCAGTTCTAGCACTGTGGGAGAGAAAGGTTTCTAGCCACCGTCTCTGCACAATGCATAGCTGTATAGCCCTCTGTTATGTCTAGGGATGGGCACGAACCAGCTGACGAACTAAAGTTCATCACAAATTTTGGCCAGTTTGTGATTCGCAGAGCAATGTTTGCAAACTGAAGAACGGCCACAAACTTCCACGAATTTTGGTACAATTCATGAGCCATTTAAACCAAACAGCTGAGCGGTGGTCCCTGCAACAGTCTTTAGGGGTAACAAAAAGCAGGGTTTCCAAACAGCTGAGCAGCAGTCCCAGCCACTCAGCTGCTTGGAATCTATATATATACTTACCCTGTACGGGTCCTGTGGGCCCCCATGGCAGTTCCCATCAGGGTTGAAGTGGTCCCCACAGCTGTGTCATGCAGAAGCAAAAGTGGAGATTTTGACACTCAGAAGAATGAAGGCTCCCCCAGCCACCACCCCCTCTGCCCCAAAAGATGATGGATGGTTCTCACCTGTTACAGGAACTGGTGATGTCCCCAAATTCATGAACGTGCATGCCATGTGGGCCTGGCTCCAAACCATCCACAGTACCATCAATGAGACATTTTTCTTGGGACACTTGCAAGAACCTCACCACACCCTGCACTGATCCAGGGCCAGATATCATAGCCACTGCTGCGCTGCCTAGTGGTTCTACAAGGGAATTAAAAAAAATCAAAACAAAGTACTTTTCATCTATAGGCTACTGATAGTTTCTTGCATACAGACCAAACAGCTGAAAATAATAATAGACAGTTTCTACATGGAGAACTGAAGGTAAGAAAATCAACAGCACAAGTAGGCCTTAAACCCAGGACTGCCAGATATGCATCTAACTCTCAAGACACAGTGTCATTTGATAACCATAGGTAGTACTGTATTGAGTAATGTCAAAGGAATTATATATGATGTGTTTATATACTGTTCTTAATATACCAATAAAAATATTTAAAAAAAAAGACACAGTTATTATGTATAGTAACGTATTTGTTTATACTGATCATTAACCTCTGACAGGACTACAAATCCCAGAGATCATTTGAGAGGGGAAAAGCCATGATGCTTGAAAACTACTTTTTTTAAAAATGTAATTTTGTTGTGCACATCTTTGAGAAAGAGGGCAAATGTTAGGGAGGGAAGATGAGGTGGGCTGGGACTTACGTGGCATGGTGCCCCCCATTCCTTTCAGCACAGTCGTGCGTCCAGTGCTTTCCAAAAGGCTATGGACTTTCTCAGTTTGGAGGCTGGTCTCGAGCAGCACACTTTGTGAATCTAAATTGATTTCGAGCAGCTGGATGCCTGGAGCAAAATTAAGGCAAAGTGAGAGATGCATACCAGTGTGATGAATCTACTCTGCTGCATTGTGCTGTACACAATTTAACTGACCACCACCACTACCCCGGGTCCTACCACAATCTGTTTCATGTCACTATTACCAAGTTTTTAAAAAGCAGACAGAACTGAGCAAACAGCAGTGATTTTCCTGCATTGTGCAGGGGTTGGACTAGATGACCCCAGAGGTCCCTTCCAACTCTATGATTCTGTGAGTGTCAGGGAAACGTTCTGGGGTGAGGTAGAGGTTGGGCTGAAGAGGCCTGATACCGGGTTCTCTATAGAGAAAGATGCATAAGACCACAAGCAGTGTGGAGACAGCAAAGAGGGAGAAAGTAATGCAGAGTTAAAATGCACAGAGCAGAACATTTGCACACACGTGTCTTAACCAAAGGGAACGCCCTTCCACAGAACAGATTAGATCAATGCATACAGGATATGTTTGTGGGTGGACAGAAAGGAGCCTTAAACACCAGAAAGGCTATACTTGCTACAGATCACTCTCTCACCTCTCTCTTTCATCACGTTCTTGATTGTGAAAATTCTGGGGCACCTCATCTAGCTGTCCTCTGTAAACATGGTGATGATGTAATAACATACATGTTCCTATAAGGCCTTTTTAAAAAGTTCCTGTACATTTTCAGGGTGAGCACCAGATAGCATAAGCAGCAGGAAAATGTCGTCTCATCCATGTGCAGGGGGGGTAGGGGTCCAGGAAAGAAAGCAGCAAACACCTGCTGCACGAGTGGCGCTTAGAAGTGCAGCCCCAGCCGTTCACCTTACCTGGTACTTCTTGCAGAGCTGCCTGAACTGCCTCCACACAACTCTGGCAGCTCATCTGGACGGCAAACTCCAGCTGCATAAAAGAGAAGCATCGCATGAGGCCAAAGTTATTGGGGAAAGTCAATTTACAGGAAAAGCTAAATATCATTAACTTACTGATCTATGTATAGAACAGTATTTCCAATTTCCGGACTCCATTCAATGAGGTCTATCATGAAATAGCACTTAAACAAAAAGCAGCTTCCCGCTCATAGAAAAACAAATTGGGTTGGATCCTGTAGAGGTGTTTTACTAATAGCAATGACTTCCCCTGGTTCAAGAAATCTTTTCCTGAGGCAAAAGTCAGAGCCAGGAAAGGTGTTGCTGTCAGAGGAATGGATCTGTTGACTGTAACCCCTCTAGCTCTTTTTGAGTATGGGGTAAGGAGAGATAGAAAGGGCAACTCTAAATACACCTAGAACAGGTATGTCACTGTATCTCTGCCTGCCTATTCACCAGAGCTAAAACAGGACATAAGAAGAGCCCTGCTGAATCAGACCAGTGGTCAACCTAATCCAGCATCCTGTCTCATTCAGTGGCCAACCAGTTACTCTGAAGGGCCAACAAACAGGACATAGAGCTTGAAACCTTCCCCCATTAGTCACCATGGCTAATAGCCAGTGATGGACATTTCAGAAATAGAGCACTACAAATTTGACATACTGTAGATTAGATCTTGCAGCTCCATTCTGCTAATGGGAGTGCCAGGGAAAGGCTTCTACCACTGGCTTCCTTGTCTGTAAGCAGATACAGTTCTGCACCACAGACGGATGTCAGTTGCATAACTACAAGTTTTGCATTGCATGCCTCAGCAGCGTGAAGCAAAACATTCAGATGCAAAACACTATGCGTTTACAGGGAACAGATGTGTCTCTGATAACAGAATACAACGGAGTCATCCTGGTAACTACACCCTTACTGCACCCACACCTCTACTATAGACCAACTATGTACAACCCTGAACCCTCCATGTGAAATGCAGCTCTCCAGTGGTGGCTCAAGGCCTACCAGGTGCTTGACAACCACCCCGTTTTTGTGGTCTCAGACAGGCAGCCACAGTGAGTAATCAAACCCATTATAAGTCCTCCATTATTTGCCATGAGGCACACAAATCAATCCCCCAACCTGCCACCCAGTGTTCTGGTTGGAAACTAGCAGCAACTTCTAACAGAGTAATGATAACCTATCTATCACACTACGGCACCCTTCCTCCAAGGAGTTTAGGGAAGCACAGATTATTTGTCCCCCATTTTGCCCTTACAACACCCCTGGGAGGTAGGTTATGCTGAGAGTGAGTGTCCAGCCCAAGGTCACACAATGAACTTCCTGGCTGAGTGTGATTTTGAATCTGGGCCACTTACCTCCAAACATGTGTTGTTTGCCCCCTCATGGTGTAAAACCCACCCCTCTCTCTTTTTAACCACAGCCCCCATTCTTTGAAAATATCCAGGACTGCTCTGTCTTCTGGGTTTAAAGGTCACTGGAAGAGGGGTGAGGCTTGCATGGTCTGCCTTCCAAGTTCCCATGATCCAGGGACGCAACCTACATTTACATCACAGAAGTGCATTATCCAGCTCTCCCAACATATAATACATAACCAAACCCCAAGAGCCTTTTCCTTAAGAAGAGTCTTGCACAATTAGATCAAGGTCCATCCAGCAGAGCATTCTTTACAAGAATCCCCAATGCCAGAAACTGGCCAGTGGTCAGGACGTTGTTTCTGTTCTGCTTACCTTTATGCTAGGCCTTTGTTTAATTTCGTTTACCGGGGGCGGGGGGGGGGGGGCTTTTGCTGGCCAGCTCTGCTTTAGCAGAGCTACTTCCACCTCCCGCAGGGGGCGTGAATCCTACTGGCCAGAACCGACAAGGAAGAGTCATAGTTCGAGTACAGAGGTACTCAGTCAGGCCGATTGAGATGGAGGAACAGCTGGGGGAGCCAGCTTTAAGAGACTGGCGAGGAGAGGCACAGCGCCTTCTTTCTCTTCAGCCCGCCCTTCGATCTCCATCGGTATGGGAGGCGTAGCTCTTCTCCAGAGCCGTTTTGGCCTCCCCGCTCGCCCCTAACTACAGGCATTCATCACCAATAAATAAACGCTACGGCCATCACACCTCCCCTCTTTCTCCTCTGATTCCAACACGCTCATATATTCGCCATTCTCCACCTCTCAGCCTGCTTTTCAGGACAGAACCTTGCACCAGCCTCCGGAGGTCCTCAGCTAGGTTTTTTGACACCTTGAGTTCACCATCTTCTGTCCCACCCATAGACCGTAAACGAGAATGTTAAATGGTAGATTTGCTGCAGAACTGAAAAGCACAAGACTTCCGTGATCAAATCCCGCGTCCACCTACAGCCTTTTCCCTCAGTTCCACCTGTCATCAGATATCTCTCCCCAACAGGGTTTCCTCACCAACAGAGAGAGCAACTTTTTTTGAAAAGGTTTCTGTGCGTTTTTAAAAATTATTCCTGCGCTGCTAAGGGCTGCTCAGCGGACAGAAATCCAACAGTAACTCCCCAACACGTAAGGCTTCACCTACTGAATCGCTACCTGCTGTGCACCTGCCAGAAAGCCTAACAGCCAGTGCCCAGGGGAAGAAATAATTTACAATTTGAGTGCCCTTTGTAGAGCTAATGGCAGGGGAGTGTCTGTTTCTCACCCGACAGCTGATACCGCCACCCCCTCCAGAAGCGGCCTCCATTTCGTAGCACCTTCCTTTCCTAATGGGGAACATTACCCGCCCGGACGCATTTGACCATGGCACACGACACGATATCAGCATATCGGAAACCCGGTCTGAGCAACAGTTTTGTTGTCTGGCCTGTCTCTATGGTCTTTATTTTTTCCGGGAGGCGGGCCGATGACGTTTAGTCCCTCCCCCTCTTCGCAAGTGGGACTGGGGAAAATCCTTTCCGTCGCTACATTATCGTTACAGAAACAAAGTCACGCACCCAGCGTTCCGCCCGGAAACAAGCCGGCTGAGCCCCTTGCAGAGCACCGTTCCTATGGCTACCGCGTTGTACATTGACAGGCCCTGCTTCCCTCTCTCGCCATGGCGCCTTCCCGTTTGCCTTCCGATCGTGGGCTGTACGCCCTGGAGGACACAGAACAGGCGACTCAGAAGCTGCACAGCCTATACCAGCGCGTCCTGGCTCCACTGTCCCTCTTCCCCGCTACCCATAGTCGGCTGAAGGTCCCAGTTCTGAAAAGGGCATCCTCGTATTCGCCATCTGTGCAGAAGCCCGTTGTGCCCCTCTCCCAGGCGGCGCTCACGCAACTAGTGAAAGGACGCCTGGAGTTGGAGCCACAGTGGGAGAACGTCTGCCCTCGAGCACAGAGTGTCTTCCAGGAGATCATCCTGGCAGAAGTGAAGCACATCTGGAAGGATGCCCAGCATTCGTTGTATGACCCGGCCTTCAGTCCCCAGATGAACCGGGAGATCTACCAGAACCTAGTGGCCTACATTGGCTTGGTATGCCAGCATCTCTATCTCCACTACCTGTGCCTCATGGAACACTGCCGAGTCCTGGGTGTCTTCACTGATTGTGCCAACCTCACCCGCTTTGCTGCTCAGCTCTCCCTGGACTGCTCCACCTTTCTCAAAGTGTCTGCTGTCCGGCACCGCCTGGTGATGGATATGAAGACCTCACAAAACCATTACCCAGAACCAATCTTGAGGAGTCTGTACAAACAGACCTCATCTCATCCCTCGGGATGCCGCTTGAGATTCACCATTAGCCACTTCATCAAGCTCATCAGACCTCATATGCCAACACTGAGACAGAAAATAGCAAAAGATATAAAGGAGTTGGAGGATTTACCTCCATTGGATTTAAGAAAAATAAAGCATTTACTTCCAGTGTTGAGACCTGCTGTTCCCATGCGGCAAATGTCATGTGCTGCAATCACAACACCTTGTCCACCTATCCCTGGCCCAGGAGCTAAGACTAAGCGAGAACGTGCTCATCAGCCTGTTCCTTTGGTCAAGAGGAGCAAGTCCCTGCCCAACATGCGTGTTGGGCAGCTCCTAGCCGATGAACTTGGAATCAGTTTAGTTATTCGCCCCCTCACCCCTGATCTGCCTACTCACTATGCAGAGCCCACAGAAGATGGTGAACTCAAGGTGTCAAAAAACCTAGCTGAGGACCTCCGGAGGCTGGTGCAAGGTTCTGTCCTGAAAAGCAGCCAACGGAGAGCTGAACTGGATGAGGAGTCAGAGCTTCCTCCCCTCATTAAAGCCCTGACGTGGCGCAAGTCTAATGAAGTTCGCTGCGAGCAGCTTCAGAGGATACTTTGTTCCCTGCAGCAGGAACAAGTGAGTGAGGAGCAGCAGAGAGACACCATCATTTCTGCACCAGCCAGTCATCCTCAAGCTGCCACAATGAATCTTACAGTTCACAACAGGGTGGTGGTGAAGGCAGCAGATTTACAGGTATCTGAAAGAACATATCATGAAACTGTGGCCATGAACAAATATACAGCAGTGTACAATCACCTCCTGGGTGAGATAGACATTGCTTCCACCAAAGCTTTGGATGCAAATATTTTTGCTGGAGAAGACGTCAAGAAGATATACATGGAACTGATGAACACTGTCCCAAAAGATCACCAGAAGTTTGATGCAGGACCCTTGATAGATCACCCTGCAACTGACATAGAACTATCTACCTGCTTTGCTTCCTCGACACTGACTAGGAGAAAAAGTGAGCAGGTCATCAACAAAGAGCTGAGTCAAATCCTGCCAGCTGGACCATTCATCCTCGAGGAAGTAATAGACACACCCACAACCCCCAATCTACCTTTCAAAAAGAACTTATCCCAAAAACGGCGTGCCTCTTGGCTCAGATGGTGGAAGACAACCTTCAACACTGATGATTACCTGACATATATAAGTACAAAGGACTCAGACTATTTGCAAGTGGTATTTCATTTGTATGACTATGACAGAGAAGAAGAGGAAGAGGAAGAGGAAGAGGAGCACCCCATATTAGATGAGGGTGAAAGAAAAAAACAGGAGGAAGTGAAAAGAGAAGAGAGAAAGAAAGCTGCAGAGCTACAGTCTGAGAAGGAAGAATACCAGTCTGGGGAATGGAACTTCAACACCATCTTGATGGGGGGGTTAGGAACTTTCATTGGCTATGACCACAAGCCTGAGGATCTCAAGGTCTTACAAAGAAGGTTGGAAAGACTGTGGACAGTTCTACATTTCACTGAACAGGAGAGGTTGGATATGGCAATCAAATACAGTTCCAAAAGATATTACTTGCTGCTTCCAGACATGCTGCAATCTTGGGAGATAGCAGCACAGTGTATCCAAGACCGGGAGCTCTTGCTGTCTGAACTGGAAAGCTTTGAGCAAACTGCTTCTGATCCAAACCGCTTCTTCAGCAGGGCTACCAGATCTGTTGTGTTGCGAATGAAAGAATCCAGAATCAGGAGCCGCCTGTACTCCGAGTTGTCCAGCTGTGATTCCGAACTCTGTGTCATCTTGAATCACATCAAAGAGACATTCAACGACATTGTGACTTTTAAGGGACGCCCATACTTGGAGAAGATGGAGTGGGACATAGTGGAGATGCTGTATTGGCTGCAACAGGAGCGACGTGCCAGCAACTTGAAGAAAGTAGTCCAGAGAGGCAGGGAGTGGTGGGAACTCCCCCCTCTGACTTAAACTTGCATAATTGCCCAGTTTGTTATCCCTCAGAGATCTATCAAGAGGCTGTTTCAGGACTTTTCTGCATATATGCCAAATTCATAGATTTTCTACCGAGTTTTTCTTCAGCCAGGTGAAAAGCTTTACTAATGGAGGCAGCCACAAGCAATGTTAATGTAATAAAAATATTTTTACTCAGATCCTAGCAGCTAATCCATATTCTTTATTGTCAGAGGGAGGGAAATTCAAGGCAGGTTCTAGTGGGATTCAAAGAGCACAAGCTGTGCAGGAGGCAGAGAATGGATTCAGATAAACAACCACAACTAACAAGTGGAAATTGTCCATCTGAATGTGTAATGCAAGAGCGTAACTGGTGTCAAGAGAAAGTGCCTTCTCTGCATCAATCAATATAACAGTTTAAGTATCATCCTTTGCTCTGTTGTAGAATCCCAGGGCAATAGTCATTTTTCTGTTTGTACTATCCTGGGTAGGAAGAATAACATTTGCTCAAGCCAAAAGGGGTCTCACATGCATATCAAAGTGAACCACTGTAATTACACTCAGTTGGGAGAAGAAGAAGAAGAGAGAAGAGATTGGATTTATACCCCGCCCTTCACTACCTGAAGGTGTCTCAGAGCGGCTTACAAACTCCTTTCCCCTCCCCTCCCCACAAGAGACACCCTGTGAGGTAGGTGGGGCTGAGAGAGCTCTTGACAGAAACTGCTCTTTTTCAAGAACAGCTGTGCCAGAATTATGGCTTGCCCAAGGTCATCCAGCCAGGTGCAAGTGGAGGAGTGGGGAATCAAACCCGGTTCTCCCAGATTAGAGTCCATTAGAGTCCGCACACTTAACCACTACACTAAACTGGCTCTCCTGATAAAGGGGGGGGGGTCGTACTCTTATTCCAGAAGCATTGAGGGGCTCATGTTAGTGATTGGCTCAAGCTGGTCAAGGAGGCAGTTGTCCAGTTGCTCTATAAAATAACACCAAAGGAATCAGGGTAGGCTTCCACACACACTGGTGTGCCTCAAGAAGTCCTTTTATCAGGATGGTCCGTGGGGGGGTTCGGGGAGGACTCTAATCTGCAAGAACTGGGCTTGGTTCCCCACTCCTCCACATCCAACTGCTGGAGTGACCTTGGGTCAGTCCTCTTTCAAAGCTGTTCTCTTGAGGGCAGTTCTTGAAAGAGCTCTCTGAGCCATCACCTGCCTCACAGGGTGTCTGTTGTGGGAAGGGGAAGGAGATGGTAAGCCGCTCTGAGACTCCTTCAGGTAGTGAAGGGTGGGATATAAATCCAATCTCTTCTTCTTCTAGAACCAACTTACTTTGCTTCCTCATAAGACTGAACTGTTTTCTCTTTTAATAAACTGTTTGTTTTTACCGGTGTGTTCTACTGTGTGTGCAAAGGCCCAAACCCAGACTCAGTATGTTATCAAGAAGGGGATGTATCCCAGGGTTCCAGGGAAGGAACAGGGGAATCAAATCATCTTAAACAAGGCCCAAGGGGGGCAGGAGCAGTGTTCCCTATAAACTGAGTTAGTGTGAGCTAGCTCACAGTTTTTTAGCCTCCAGCTCACACATTTTTGCATTAGCTCAGGAAGGATGGCTCCTGAGCAAACTAATGTATGCAGTAGCCAAATTGCTCACTCACAGTTTTAATGCCAGTAGCTCCCAAAGTAGAATTTTTGTTCACAAGACTCCACAGCTTAGAGGGAGCATTGGTCAGGAGAACCCTGGGTCTTGTCAGAATTTGCCTGGCTCACTCCACATTTCAAAGGAATTCTCTAAAAATTTTTTAGTGAGACAGTACAAATATTGGATTCCTGACACAATCAACTTTATTTTTTAAAATGTTCTTAGCAGTTAATGTTTCAAGTACTGGCAGCAGGGGTCATGCCCGAGGCAGGCAGGGGTGGGGAGAGGCGGGGAGGAAGCAACTTACCCTCCCTCTTCTCCTGGCTGAATGAGGGCTGGCAGCAGGGCGGCCGGAAGCAGGGGGCGGGGCTTCGTCATGTGCCCCGCCCCCTGCACCTCACCCAGGGGAACTGCGTTCCCCCGCGTTCCCCCCGAAATGACCTCTGACTGGCAGCATCTTTGAACATTTAAGAACATAAGAGAAGCGAGTGTTGGATCAGGCCAATGGCCCATCCAGTCCAACACTCTGTCACACAGTGGCCAAAAATACCAGGTGCCATTAGGAGGTCCAGCAGTGGGGCTGCAGTGGTCCACAGACTGTATCAGGGCAGCAGAACCTCCATCTCTCTAGGCTGCTATTGTATTTCCATTTTCATACAATGGCAATGTGTACTATTACAAGAAAATAGTCCCTATAATGTAAGGTGTACTCCACAAGGACATCTCACTAACAGGGAGGTCAAACATGGTTGCCTTCTTGCACCCGCTTTTCAATTTCTATGTTAATGACCTGGTAACATTAATCAACAAGCCTGAGCATCATGCCCCAAGGCTTGGTAGTACACATATAGGGGTCCTTTTATAGGCAGATGATGCTGTTTTACTCTCAAGGATCCCAGTAGTCCTCAGGAGAGCCTTGAGCTCCTTTACCCACTACTGCTGTGAGAACAAGTTAGAAGCTAATTTTTCCAAAACGAAAGTAATGGTTCTTATGAAAAATATAACTCCAAAAAGATATTGCTGATTTCTTGACACCAGCCCTAGAGAACAAGTCTTTTGTTTTAAAAACTAGGGCTTTCAGGTCAATGGCTTGAGAACTGTTAATATAAATTCTGTTGTTTCTAATGCTAAAAGGAGCTGAGGGGCAATCCAAAAATTCTACCGGCACAAGGGGGGCAAAAATGTGGTAGCAGCTCTAAAGAGTGTTCAAGGCCAAATCTCTTGCCCAGCTTATGGAGCCCCAATTAATATTACTTCAAACATCAGGAAATTGGACATGGTTCAATCTAAATTTTTGAGAACAATTTTACAAGTGCCTAATGGTATCCCTATTAATGCTCATGCGCATCTGGAATCCGGTATGATAACGGTGGAGGCAAGGCTATGGTTAGCGGTGATTCTGTATTGGTTAAAATTGGTATCCTTTCCAAGGAGATTGGCTAGGTTAATATTTCTAGATTCTTCTGCCCCTCCATGGATAAGGGAACTGGAAATGAAATTACCTTTTTATGGGTTCTCCAAGCAATTCCTGTGCTCTCCGAGTTATGATAAAGCCAAGGCTTTGGTCAAAGAGGGTTAATGGTACTGCAAGGCAAGATGATTTGAATAGAAATAGGGAAAGGGAGACTCTGTCTGGAGCCTACTATGAGGGCAACCCCTATGCCTTACCTTTCCCACCTATTAAATCAAGAGTATAGGAGACTGTTCACACTAATGCGCTGTGACGCACTTCCCTCAGCTGTCCTTGAAGTATAAAGATTCCCTATGAAGAAAAGGACTTGCCCCCCCCCCCCGTTGTAGTGAAGGCATAGAATTGCTACACCACATCCTGTTTGATTGCAAGGTGCATAACAATTTTCGTGAATCCCTTCCTCTGCCTATCACCTTTAAACTGCAGACAGAAATCGTGCTTTCTGAGGTTCTTTCAGATAGGCATCATTTACCAGGTGGCTAGATTTGGCTGGCTTGCGGCAAGGCATAGGAAAACTGTAATAGCTCATGTAGTGGATTGCTGAGATTTTAAACCTTTTAGTAGACATTGTAACATTTTACTGTATTTTGAATGCTTTTATTATGAGGTATTCCTCAAATCATATTGTGAATTTTATTATTGCTGTATTGCCCCAATGAGGCATTTTATTGTTTGTGAATTAAATTCTGGTCATAGACTGTGAATAAAACTTTACCAAAAGGTTTCCCTTGCTCAAAAGCTAGTCGAATCCAACTCTATGGGGCAGTGCTCATCTCCATTTCCAAGCTGAAGAGCCAGCGCTGCCCAAAGACGTTTCTGTGGTCATGTGGCCGGTGTCACTAAACATCGAGGCACATGGAACGTTGTTGCCTTCCCACCAAAATGGTACCTATTTATCTACATGCAATTTCTTGCTTTCACACTGCTAGGTTGGCAGGAGCTGGGGCCAGAGAGGAGAGCTCACTCCATCCCATAGCACTAGGGTCTCACACTGCCGAACTACAGACCTACCAGTCTGCAGCTCAGCTTCTTAACCTCTGAGCCACCGTGGCCCTAAAAACTTTACCAAGTCCCTATAATATTGAAGAGACGAGAGCGCTACACGGGAAGACTAATGCAAAAATCACTGGGGTGGGACCAAATGTGCAAACTGTGGAAATGTCATTTTAAAAATGTTTCTAAACTACAGATCAGCAACTTTGGCAGGACAGCTCAGGGCAGAGAGCCCAGGCTGCGCCCCCCCAGCTACAAAGTAACTCCCAGTTATTGCTGTTATTACAGCTCCAACTCCCTTCACATCCCCCATTTAGTTTCTTATCCTTCAGTGCCACCCAAACCGGTACAATCTTAAGTTTTAGGCCCAAGACAAGAGTTAGTCATCTCACAGGGATGGATGTCCCATTCTTGGGGGGGGGTGGGGAGAATTTAAGATGGCCTCAAGCTTATTTTGCAGTAAAAAGGTTGGTAAGCTTCAGTCCCTGATCCAGGCTGCTCACAGCTATGTGAGCTGTGTAAGGACCAAGGGAACACTCTGGGTGCTCAAGCAGCCCCAACTGGCATCAGAGATGCTTGCTAGGAACCGCCAAGAATTGCTCCCAAGTGGATACCTTAATGAAAAATTGCACAGCAGTCCAAGTTGCTCATGCAGCAGCAGGTACATGCTGTCCTGTACAGCCCGAATGGGGATGCTAGCAAGGGGAAAGTCCGGCCTGTACAGGCAGCTCACCATGTAATCAGCCTTATCTCCCTCTTGGGGGCTATTGCTACTTGGTAAGAGGAGACCTACATGTGCATGCATGTGGGTTTGTCGTGGCAGAAGCCTGACCACCTTTGCTGCTCTTGGGCTCCAGAAGCCCAGGAAAGTTATGACTGGCAAAGAACTCGAGTGCTTGGCTCCACTATGGAAGGGGAA